CCCCCCCCTTCTGGCTTGCGCATTCCCCGTCCCACAGCTGTACATCACAAAGGCCACCACTAATTGGACCAGAAGGGAGGAGTGGTGGTCACAGTTTTAAGTGGGCTTGGGTGTTCTGGGTTTGCACCAAACCCGGGCTCATCAATAATTCAGAGGCGCTAAGTATGTTTCTGTGCCTTCCTCCTGCAGCATTGCTTCCTGAACTGCCCACAGCCTTAGAAGGGACTAACCAATCAGTCGCATATGTTCATCTTTGACTCTGAATTGGGGTCCCCTCAGACTCTCCCTCATGAGATTCTGTATGAGGAAGCAGACTTCTGCCATTACCCCATATTTACAAGAGACTGTTTTGGCTCTTATTAATGCAGGACATACTGCTCTGTGTCTGAAGGATTAGGCTGCTGTCTCCAGTCTTGAGTCTTTCAGAGCTCTTACAGCTGCAAGGACTTTCCAATTCCTCACACTCTTCGGGGTATTTATCTATAGGGATTGGAATGGGTGCTAGATCCCCCTGAGCACTTGCTGGATCTGTTCCTGTTTAAGAAGAATTTTGTTAAAAATTGGTCTATACCTACTATGGCTCACTTTAGTGACCCACTGTAACAAGGAAACCCCTAGACCACTAGGGGGCTTTCTTACATTCAAGGATTCTGCTGACCAAAAGGTAGAATCCATCTTTTAAACTGCTCTGGCCGGCAATTAGCCATGCCCTTCTTCCTCCAAGCTGGTGGAATAGGATAAATCCTTCAAAAGATTTCTCAACTGCAGCAGTTTATTCTGTTTGTCTGATCGAACTTGTGGAACAAATGTCTGGAGTCCTATGCTTCAGCTGTGATGGCCTGCTGGAAACATCTAGGCTTGTCTCTTTTTATAGGTCTGTTGTCTATACAGAAATGCACGGCACTTTAGTTATATGGCTAGGATGTGGAGACTTCGTCCAAGAAACGCCTAACCTGCTTGGTCATCGAAGGACAATGTTACTTTGGTTCTACTCTTTACATTATCATCAAGGATATCACTGGAGGACAGTGCCCACCTACCTCAACCTAGGAAGTTTTAAAGTAAGGTCCTGAAGAAGGTATGACTAGGCCATCTAAGCCTGGTTCTCCAGCCACTTTACAAGGTTGGAGATAAGAAACCAACTAAATCCTCATGGCTTCAGTTTTTGGGTGTTTGTTAATCCTTGCAGGCTCTTGGGTAGTTTCAGGCATTTAGGTAGAGAGAGTGCACTTTCAGGTTGACAGAATGATCCCTCGCCACCAGTTCCCCTTTAGCTCCTCACTACCCTCCTTCCTGTGTCACTGCAAACATTAGCAGACCTACCTCTGCTCCCTTGGGGTCTCCTTGAACTAAAGATTCTTGTTCAAGTCACTGTGCCCTCGAATCAGGAGCTGTATCTCAACCATGCCACTGTTTTCTCCCCTAGAGCAATTGTTTGTCTCCATCTTATCAGGTTTGTGGTTCCCTTCCGTGTAGAGTCATCCCATCTGGCAGTGGCTATCTCTGTCCTGGTGTGGAGCATCAGGTTGATTCTCCCTGCTTTCCCTTGGTTGTGTCAGTAGATTCCCTTCTCTGGTAGAGGGTTCCACCTCCATCAGTTTAAGATTTGGGTGTTGGTCCTCCAGGCAACTCCAGGGCTGCAGGTGGTTCCCAGTCCTAGGGCTGTTAGAGGTTGATGTTTTGCCTACCCCTAAAGTCGGACTGCCTTTGGATGTTCTGACTGTATCTGAATTCCTGTGTTCCTCAATGGATGAAAAATAAAATGTTATTTTTTATATTTACCATAAAATCAATTTCTTGGAGTCCATTGGAGGACACAGGTGCTACCCCTCTGTTTCTGTTAATGCATTTAATACTGCTTTGCCACAAAAATAAGGAATGCTGGGTAGAGGAGTCATTATACTGGGGCTGGCTTATAATTTTTTGTGTGTGTGTGTGTGCCAGCGTTTAACCCTTTCCCTGCTAACGCTGTATCCCTTATGCCGCTGGCTTTGGCCCCTCTGTTTACTTGAGGAAAGCTTTAGACTGGAAGTGATTCTGGTGGCTTAGTTGCCGCTAGATCGCTTCCATGGGCCAGTAAACGGGTCATTCCCCCCAACCACCATTGCTTCTCAGGCTCAGCTGCCTTTTCTGCGGGCCCAGGACCATCACCACGGTTGTTGGGAGAGAGAGAGAGAGAGAGAGACAGCGAACATTCTTTCACTGATCTCCCCGCTGAATGGAGCCGGAAGTATTGCGGATTGCATCACTTCCGCTTCCTCAGCTGTCATTCTCTGGATAGAGAAGAGCTTGTGGCTTCCAATCATTTTCTTCTGTGCTAAGCTCTTTCCACTTAAGATGTCCTCTTATTTTTCTGTAGTTCACAGTTGCATCTTCCTAAAATTCTTCATTGCTGTCTACAACAATTGGAGGAGGCTAAGGAGCTGAGCTGCCAGAAAAATTATTTGAGGCCACTGGCTTCAGATTAGAAATGTGGAACACTGGATGGACCTTTAATGAATCTGAAAGATTGAGCCTGTCTGCCACAGGATTGAGGATTCCATGGTTAGAAAATGAGCCAATGAATCTAGGACTACATTTCTTAGAGGGACAATGTAACCTCAGGTTGGTAGTGGATGGCTATACCAGATATTCTGGCTTACAGTGTATTTTTATGTTTGCGTTCCCATTCACACACCATACCTAAAAAAAAAAAAAAACCTTTTCAGATGTTTATTTGGAACAGGATTATACGTGGGACACGATAAGCAAGCTTGAACTTCCTTGAATAGAGAGCATTGTGCCGATTAAGGGATGGCTGAGGGACATTTTTTTTAAAAGTGCATTAGCATACAATGCCTTTAAATATTTACCCCTTTGTTGGGACAGACAGTTCTCCACAACTAGTCTACAACAACTAATGGAGATCTGCCAGTACAGGACAGAAAGACTTGGTTATAGAAATTAGAATTGCTCAGCCCCTCCTAAACAGTAATTTCAGTCACTGAGATTTTAGCTAAGCACATGAAAAAGGTAAACAGCCATTTTTAAAGTTATGATATGTGAATGGGAACTTGTAACAAATATAAAGTACGTGCTATAACAATTTGCCTTGAAAAGTGGAAATACACTTTAAAGTGACACTACACTGAGGAGTTAAATCTTAAAAATGCAATCAAGTACTTTAACTATTAAGAGAAATGTAGCCTATCTTTGTATCATTTTGCTGCAGATCCTCAAATATCTGAATTGGTGATGACACTGTCCTTCCTTATGGAGGGTGGCTACTTTTGTTCCCCATGGTCCCTGTGTGTGTTGTAAAGTAGCCACCGTTCCAAGCTCCATCCTGTGATGGACTACAATCTTGTGTTTAGTTTACTAATTTGTATTAAGATTGTAGTCCATCACGGGAGCAAGCTTGAAGCGTTGGCTACTTTACAACACACACAGGGACCATGGGGAACAAAAGTAACCACTCTCCAGAAGGAAGGACAGTGTCGGCACCAATTCAGACATCTGGGACACTGTGGAGTCTTGCAAACGCTGATGAAGATCTCTGCCATGGCTGAGGCCAAAGGAGTACACAAGATCATGGCAGGTGCTAAGGAAGGCAACCAGAAGATCAATTTCCGGTCAGCTTGTTAAGACTTTGATGTCCCTGTGATATCAGACTGGGCTGGATCATTAGGAATGTCGTCTTAGATAAGATGGTATTGGGCATGACAGGAGTGAAGTACTTGGGGAAACATACGTAGTAGGGCTGCAACAACTAATCAATTTAAATTGATGATGATCGATTATGACTATTCTCATCGGTAAGTTGGTTGGGGGCAAGGAGAGAGAGAGAGAGATATTCTTAATGCAACCAATCGATTAGTTGAAAAAATAATCAGGCAACTAATCTATTATGAAAATAATCGTTAGTTGCAGCCCTAATACGTAGCAATGCATCTGACTTCACATTTTTCACCCCAACCGGTAGTCCAAATAGAGGCTTGGTGTGGCCTAAGGCATTTTGCAGTACTGGGGAATCCAGCTGCCATTGTGATGTGCACTTCTGGTGTGTCTGCACCCCTGGTGAACCTGCACCCAATTCATCCTTTGCTTTATATGCTCCAGGATGGAGGCTCTTATAAATTAGGGTTAGTACCACACTACACAGAAGGCCTTGAGGAGGCAGTATAGCTTGCACATATTTTGCAAAAGTTGTGCAACTAAAGTCTCTGTTTTTAATCCCAATAGTTAGTGTAATTTTTTTTTTTATTTCAGGTTAGTTGGTAAGTGTGCGGGGAAATTTGTTTCACTTGTTGCCCAGCATCATATGCTAACGATCATGCGCACATGTTCCCTCCTAAGCATGAGGCCAGTGTGGCTGCTGGCATGCTGAAAATGGGCAGGATGGGCTATGCCCCTCACTGTATAGACATAGATCCAGCAGCTACTGTAAAACTAATAAAATGTTCTTTCTGTAATTGTGCAGAGGTTTTGATTATAAACATGAGTTTAAATCATTTTAAATGTTTGTGTTTTCCTTCTTCATACAGGCATCCTCCTGTCTGTCACGTGATGGAAAGTCAGAGGAGGAGAGAAGACAGCTTGAAGCAGCTCGTCTCCCTGTGAATACGAATTTGGCTCTAACATATATGAGGTTAGAGCGTCCTGGCAGCAGTTTACAGTGGGGTGAGAAGGCTCTGGCCATAGACAACAAGAATGTTAAAGCTCTGTTTCGGTGTGGGCAGGTAATTATAGCTGGTAATTGGTTTAAATAGTTTGGTTTGGAGTTTTGGGGCTCCTGAACACCACACATACAGGCATATGTCAAGCTGTATGCCCATACCCCTGTATTTTGTGTCTGGGAATGAGCCCCAAAACTTGCATGTACACTGTACGCCGGTATACATGTGTAAATGCAAGTAGAAGCATTTACACGTGAACTTAGGTCCATACATTTGCACATTTACACACTGGTACTTGCGTTTGCATGTGTATACAGATGTACAGCATGTTGTGTCTAATCCTATGGACACATAAGCAACAGCTGAGGCTGTCACACATTGGCTCTATTGATCGGGAACTGAGCGATAACATACCGCCGGTAGCTTAGTTCTGATCATCTCCGTGCAGAGAGAGGTGACTGTCAGTCACCGCTTCCCGCAGGGATTCCCCACCCCTCTCCGTTCCTCCACCTCTGACTGAAGGAATGGAAGGGGAGGGGGTGAGCACAGCTGGCTCTGTCTCTAGAGAGTCAGAGCCAGCTGTCAATCAGGTGGCGAGATGGATCCCAAATATATTGTTGGTATCCGTCCCGACTGCAATGCGACTCTGCGCTGTCCGTATATAGCGGGCAATAGCCCGCTATATGCTGAGTTTTGGGTCACATTAGTATATGTCCTGTGACCCTGAAGAGAACTATTGCAAAAAAAGGTTGGGCCATAGTTCTCCTTTTACTTGTGAAGTACTAATGAGCCCCCAGTCTGTTTTAAATACATGACATATATCTTGTAAATATCAGAGGTGCACCGAAATTAATATTTAAAAAACCGAAATGAAAAAAAATGTCAGGCCGAAACCGAAAATGTTTTTTATTTTAACTTTTTTTTTTTTTAAATGTTTAATATTTCTATTTATTTTTTTATACACTTTTTAATTTTGTTATATTTAATTTTTATTCATTTTTATTAAATATTTTTATTGTTTACTTTTAGGGGCTTCGGGGGAACTATTGGGGGTCTAAACAGACCCCTGATATTTCCCTTTTAAAATAGAAAAAGAGATTGAGGACACAGTCGGCAATCTCTTTTTCTGCATCCCCTGTTCTAAATCAACAGAAATCCTCTATACTGAGTGTTCCTGTCCATTCATAACATGAGGACAGAGTATGTTTACTATAACCACAATCATGAATGAACAGGAGGTGATCACTTTTTATTCATTCATAATTGGGGACACAGTAAACATACTCCTGTCCTCAATCATTTACAAACACTCAGCGATCACTGATCGCTGAGTGTTTGTACCGCTCTCCTTCCTGACAGGCTGAGCGAGCAGAGCTTAGCCTGCTGTGACAGCGCTGCCTGTCTCCGCCCACACTGCTCTCCTCTGATCTGTGACAGGAGGCTGAGCGGTGCGGGGAGGAGAGACGCCGGACGCTCACAGCGCTCTCCTCCCGCATCGCTGGGCCACCTGTGACTGTTTCTCTCCTCCCTGCTGGGACACAGAGCAGCGCCCAGCGGGGAGGAGAGAAAGAATGGATGCACCGCTATATCGGGCAGAAAATTACACTTTCAGCGTTTAGCCAAAAGTGCCATTTTCGGCCGATATGTTTCGGCGGCCGATATATCGGTGCATCCCTAGTTTAACATGCTTTTTTAATAATAAGGCACAGAGAAAATAAATAGTCTGTAAGCCCCCCACACCCTGAAAGTTGCGTACTAAAAGCCAAACAAATTCTCCTCCTGGAGAAGTGCAGGTCTCCATCTACATCATCTTATTTTTTTATAGTGACCGGCTAGGTGATGGCACTAACAAATGTTTTGGGGTCTGTTATTTGTATGCTTTTAAAAATGATTGAGACACTTTGTTGCTTCCTTTAAGTTTCTGGCTCAAGATACCTCTTTACCACATAAACTGAAAAGTGATCCTTATACAGTATACTCCCCGTTATATGTCATCCATGGGGATTAGTAGATTCTGGATAAATGTAGTTCTGCTTGCTTGAGAGTTACTATTAAAAATAGGTCTAACTAATGCCATAGCACATACTATACTATAATCTCTGTATTGACTTTATATTATTATTACTACTATATAATTATTATTATTATAGTAATTTAAAAGCAAATTAAGACAAATAGACACATGATCATTTCCAGGATAATACATGCCGCAGAATAGTGAGTACACATGTTTTTTAATTGAATACTGGATAACAGAGTTTACTGTATAATCTTAGACGTTAGAACGTTCTTTCCAGTAGTACATTATTATTTTGAAATATCCTTGCTATTGCTAAATGCTATAACTGGGTAAACATACATATCAGTATTTTAGGGTCTGTATTTTTAGTCACTGTTTAAGAACTGTGCCTTGTACTTTCTTGCTTGAAATAATAGATATATGTTAAAGATTATGCATATAGCATATATACAACTGTCATCTTCTTTTTTACCCTCCTGTGTCAGGCATGTCTTGAGTTGAAAGAGTATGAAAAGGCCCGCACGTTTCTTTTAAGAGCTCAGAGGTTGGAGCCGTTTAATTCTGAAATTAACGGTGAATTGAAAAGACTGTCAAGGTATTTGTAAAAAAATTCTAGATAACTTCACTGATCTAGTTTTGTTTTCATTAAACACTTCCGTGCATGTGTTCGCACTATATTGCCAAAAGTATTGGGACACCTGCCTTTACACGCACATGAATTTTAATGGCATCCCAGTCTTAGTCCGTAGGGTTCACTATTGAGTTGGCCCCCCCTTTGCCACTATAACAGCTTCAACTCTTCTGGGAAGGCGTCCACAAGGTTTAGGAGTGTGTCTATGGGAATGTTTGACCATTCTTCCAGAAGCACATTTGTGAGGTCAGGTACTGATGTTGGAGAAGGCCGGGCTCGCAGTCTCCGCTCGAATTCATCCCAAAGTTGTTCTATCGGGTTGAGGTCAGGACTCTGTGCAGGCCAGTCAAGTTCCTCCACCCCAAACTCGATCATCCATGTCTTTCTGGACCTTGCTCTGTGCAATGGTGTGCAGTCATGTTGGTACAGGAAGGGGCCATACCCAAACTGTTCCAACAAAGTTGGGAGCATGAAATTGTGCAAAATGTATTGGTATGCTGATGCCCTAAGAGTTCCCTTCACTGGAACTAAGGGGCCAAGCCCAACCCCTGAAAAACAACCCCACACCCATAATCCCCCCTCCACCAAACTTCACACTTGGCACAATGCAGTCAGACAAGTACCATTCTCCTGGCAACTGCCAAACCCAGACACGTCTATCGGATTGCCAGACAGAGAAGCGTGATTCGTTACTCCAGAGAACACGTCTGCACTTCTCTAGAGTCCAGTGGCGGCGTGCTTTACACCACTGCATCCGACGCTTTGCATTGCACTTGGTGATGTAAGGCTTGGATGCAGCTGCTCGGCCATGGAAACCCATTCCATGAAGCTCTCTACGCACTGTTGGTGTGCCAGTCTGAAGGCCACACGAAGTTTGGAGGTCTGTAGCTATTGACTCTGCAGACAGTTGGCGACTTCTGCGCAGTGTGCGCTTCAGCATGTGCTTACCCCGATTCGCAAGTCAGCGCTATCGGAGCGGGGAGGGGGGAATCCAGCCCCTCCCCTGTCACGGCAGAGAGCTGTGACAGGATCGAGAGGTGAGCAAACGCTGGTATCTGTTCGCTCACCTCCCGATCTACTGAGCCAACCTGTGACAGTCTCATTTTAATGACTTCTACAGTCTCAAAATTATTCAACCCCTCCATGGCAAACATCTTTAGTACTTATTAGCGCACCCTTTTGCTGGTATGACCTGCTGCAAACGAGGTGCATAGCCAGACACCAGCTTCTGGCAGCGTTCCTTAGGAATCTTAGCCCATTCCTCATGAGAAATGGCCTCCAGTTCACTAATATTCTTGGGTTTGCCTGCTGCATTTGCCGCCTTCAAATCCCACCAGAGATTTTCTATGGGGTTCAAGTCAGGTGACTGTGATGTCCACTGTAGAATCTTCAAGGACGTCTTCTGCAACCGAGCCTTGGTGGAATTTGAAGCATGCTTTGGATCATTGTCCTCTTACAAGGTCCAATGTTGCTCAAGCTTCAGCTTCCTCACAGATGGCATGATGTTATCTCATAGAATTTCCTGATTCTTCAATGAATCCATCTTGGCTTCCACACGCTGCAGGTTTCCAGTGCCAGAGGATGCAAAGCAGTGTTCTTTCAGAGTATGCTTCATTCTTCTTCCTCCAGCAGATATTCCGCTGATCCATAGGGCTGAAAAGTTCCAGTTTTGTGTAATCGGTCCATAGATCAGAATCCCAAAACTTCTGTGGCTTATTTATATGATTTAGAGCATATTGGAGCCAACTTTTCGTGTTTTTTTTGGTCAGTAGTGGTGTAGTCTTGAAGTTCTTGCATGAAAACCTTCTGTGTTTAGTACGCACGTTACTGTGCGAAGTGAATCCTCAGTGCCTGTTGCCATCAAGTCTTTTTGCAGGTCTTTTGCAGTCACTTGAGGTAGCCAGCAGACCTCTGTGAACTTCAGGATACATCTTTCATACTATGTGGAGATGAGACGAGAGGGTGGTATTCTGTAGTCCTAATAAACTTCCTGTCCTTGCAGCTCCTCCCTAATTACAGTATGGTGAGTGTGGTCACCCTAAGAGAGCAGGTATTTTAATAGCAGAGCAGGGGGAAATAGAGGGGGGGAAAAAAAGGCTACAAATAAGAAAACTAATGCAGCCACCACATCAAAGGACTGGTGATCTGCAATATGTTGCATTTTTGTTCTCGGGTTTAGATAAAGTTTAGGTGAATGGTTTATTGGTAAATTAAAACTTCCTTTCACAATTTGCTATAATGACATGTTCATAGCTGTTGCCCCTCTCATGTTATCCTTCCTCTCCTTCAGCTATTACAAGGAATACATGGACCAACAAAGAGAGCTCTGTCTTCGTATGTTTGCCCAAAAGGCCTCTAGAATGGCATAATGTTGTAATGCTGAAAGAGTCCCCAACAAGCAAGATCAAGAGGTACAGTCACTAGCCTTCCTGAGCCTTGATTCTTCTGTGGTGTTCTGCCTTGTCAAGTTACAAAGAAGTCAACAACACAAGGGGCCATTAAAAAAATAAAAATAAAAAAAATATAAGGGCAGTATCGGGCCGTTCCCGAGAAGGACAGGTGCTGCGTGTGATTGCACGCAGCAGCCTGTTCTTCTTAATGGGAGTACGCGGCCGTACGCTCCCCCGAACTGCACATCCGTGCGGTTGCGGGTGTCCGTGCTCGGACACAGATAGGATCCATCCTGTTTGTGTACAAGTACGGACACCCGCACGTATGTGAAGCTCGGGGGAGCGTACGGCCGCGCAGTCACACGCAGCACCTGTCCTACGCGGGAACGGCCCAATATGGCCGTGCACGCCGCACGGATCTGTACGTGCCGGCTCTTAGCTGTGTGAATGAGACCTAAGAGCAGAGTGGATTTTGCAGTTTGAGAGTGCATATGTAACTTAAAATGTTTTGCTATGAAGAGATGGTTGTTGGGTGCATTTGTTTTCTTTCATTGGCCTGTATCAAGGCCAAGATTCACAGCATAGGCCTTTAAATGCTAGATTTGCCCAACAAGTACATGTTAGGGCAATTATTTTGTTTTGTTCCTTTGTTGAATTAAAGTGACACTAAACTCAGGAGTTAAATCTTAAAAATACATTCAAGTAACTTAACAATTGACAAAAATGTATCTTATTTGTGTATTACTCGGCTGTAGATCCTCAAATCATCTGTGAATTTGTGCTGACACTGTCCTCCTTCTGGAGCATGGCTACTTTTGTTTTCATGAACCTTGTGCGTGTTGTAAAGTAGCCACTGCTCCGATCTCGTTCCCATGATGGCATACAATCTGAATCAGTTCCAAGTGGAATGGAAGCAGACCTTCTGTAAAAATGAAAGATCTGCTTCAATGATGGCTCCACATGACCTATGCACAAAAAGGTTCATAAACCGTTGATAAAAATACAGCCCTGTGTGTGTTGTAAAGTAGACACCGCTCCAAACTCGCTCCCATGATGGACTACAGTCATAATAAACTAAACGTGAGATTGTAGTCCATCATGTGAGCGGTGGCTTCTTTACAACACACACAGGGTCCATGGGGAACAGAAGGAAGGACAGTGTCGGCACCAATTCTGAGATGATTTGAAGATATATAGCAGAGTGATATACAAATAAGATACATTTTGGTCAATTGTTAAGTTACTTGAATGTATTTTTAAGATTTAACTCCTGAGTTTAGTGTCACTTTAATGGATCATTAACATTTAATCTAACCTCATTTTCAAATGTATGAAACAATTCATTGTATTGCTTACCTATTTTAGAAGGATTTCTAAAGATTAATGTAAACAGTGTGATATCCATCAGATGGAATGCATGTCCCATAACGGATGACTTCCTAAATTACTTCACAGTGACACAGTATAGAATTATGTATAAGCCAGTTCAAAGAGTGTTATTAATGTGGAACAAGTAGTTTACATCAAGCAGATTTAGTGTACTGTAGTCAGGCCAGTAAAGGATACATTCTGATTAGTTGCTTTGGGCTACTTTACTTTACATATTGCTCATACTAAATAAACATGTTTGTTTGGTCCATTTTAAACTGTTTTTTTTGTTTAACAGTTGATTTCTCCTTGTCGTTCTTTTTGGAAGAAAAAGCAGTATATGCAAACCATTTTGGAAATTTCAAACATTCTGTTAAAGTTTATGTAAAGAATAATAAACTTTGCATTTGTTATAAGTTTTTCTGAATGTATTGTTTCCTTTTAGTAGTCTTTTTGTGTCTTTTATCACAGATGTCTGTGATGATGGTTCTCATTCATCCAGGTCATGGTATATCTGTAAAAAAAATGGTGAATGTTGCTCCAATCCACATCTGTTAGTCACCTGGTCGTGACTAACAGAATATGTGGATTGGAACAACATTCACCATATTTATTCCCAGATCATTTTTTGTACAAGTCATTCTAAATTGAGAAAGCTGGTTGGACGACCAGTGAAATGTCTTCAAGAAAAATACAGCAAGTCCAGTTGCCTTGAGCTATTTTTGTAACAGATATACTTTTAACACAAAGTACTCCCATAGACTGGGATGAACACATCATTTCCTAATTGCTCGGGGATGGAGTGCAGAGTACCCTTGTGGGCCATCTTCACTTGCGCGCTTGTTTTTGTATGTTTTGTAGGCATGTGAGTTACGTTTGCCTATTCATTTTAGAAGGGCCCTTAATGCTTGTCCACGAACCAAAAAAGCACTTCTGCCTTTTTTTTTTTCCATTCAGTCAGGCCAGGGCCAGTTAAGTGTGTTCTGCTTATGTATGAGTGCTGTGGTGTTATTGAAAATGAATGCCAACAAGCATACACGTTAGCAGTGTACCAGGCGTTATAACACAAGTGTTAATGCCACCTTAAGGTTCAATTTCAGCCCAAACGTTTTTGTTTTGTTTTGGGTAAAGTAGGAAAGGGTTTGACCGTCATTACATTGCGGTTTATGGCCAGTTTGAAAAATTTCTCCTCAGACAGAACATACACTGAGGGGAAATCTCTTCAGTGGGGGACACAAACCGCAAACAAAGCATGTTTCTTAATCGTACATTGCTAAACACAGGATGGTATTCCTTGACCACTGGCCTTAGCATTCCTCGTTTTTTTTGCTAGTGTCCTTTGGAGATGGCTGTTTGTCTTTTTCCTACAGGATCCACGCAAGATTGGATAATCGATGTTTTGGGTCTCTGCTGATGCTAGTTTTGGCTGTAAGGTGGTACAGGCTGCTGTCGGAATTGGGGGTTTTCTTTTTGTGTTGTGGACCTGTTGGTTGTGTGCTGTGTTGCCTACCTGTCAGTTGTATCACTTTTGGACATCCCAAGCATCTCTGAATCTGCCTGTGTCCTGAATGGTACGATCAAAAAAATGGGAGATTCAACTTGCCAGTAAAATCAGTTTCTTGGAGTGCAGTACAGGGCACACGACCCTCGCCTCTGTGTACTCTATTGCTTGCTAAGAAACTGAGGATTTCTGGGAGAGATGGGTTATATGAGGGTCCTTACAGGTCTTGGCAGTTTCTAATCACCTGATGACACATTCATATTAACCAGTCATCCGTGAATCTGCCTGTGTCCTGTACTGTACTCCTGCTACACAGCCATTGCTGAACAATTTAGCAGCTTCTAGATCAGCACTCTGCAGCCAAGCCTTGAGGACTGTACCTGGACCCACCAGAAGGAATATGCAGGGCTGGCCTACAAATTTGCTTCAGGCACTTGATTCTGCTTGAGGTGATTACCTTGTCATGTAGTGCAACATGTTGAGTCTAGAATAGATCACTCCCAGGCTGCTGCTTCTTCTAAGACCAGGCTCAAAGCCAGGGGTCCACTTCAAGGCAACCCTGGGTTTGGGGAGCTCTGGTAGCCATGCGGGCACCTGGTCAGAATGCATCTCGGATGCCTGGGAACTGGCATCTACACGTGTACAAGTTAATCTCCATGCTGCCTATGCAGACCATTGGATCCAGGAGTTTTTCCCCTGTCTCTATGAAGAGAGGTGCCAGAGCTTTTGTTCCAATGGTTTCAAAAGTTTTAAGCTGAAGGCCCAAATACCTGAAATCTGCCAAGTCTGTCACAGCCTCCCCACCTCGGAGTCTTTTTGGTCCCTGTGGATTTCAGTGATGCATACTTGCAGGTCCCCATTTACTGGTGATTCTACTCTTGCTTTGTCTGCTGTGGGCCTCAAGCACTTTTGGTCCTGCCTTTTGGCCTCTCTTCTGCACTTCTCTTCAACCGCATTCTGGCTCCTGTGATAGCCTGGTTGCATTTCTAGGGTATCCCGTGTGGGATATGTGGACAACTTCCTGTTTAAGTGATGAGTGGAGTCCACCAAGCCTTACTTTTGCCTCAGAGTTTCTGGAGCTTGTGCTAGACGCAGCTGAGGCATTCGCTACTCTGTTGTCCTGGGGTGACTTGGTTCCGTCTTTCCCAGCTATTCCAGCACACTTACCAGCTCAACTGCAGAAAAAAAATGACACTTGACAATTTTCGTTAAAAACAGAAGTTTCACAACCATATTTGCAAAAAGATGGAGGCCACACTCCTCAAGGCCCCTCTGTAGTGTGATCTAAACTTTAATCTATGAGAGACTCCATCTTGGAGCTTATATTGCAATGGATATATTGAGGGCAGGTAAACCCAGTGGCGTATTCTGGTTTGGGGGGGACAAAACTCACTCCCCCCCCGGCCAGTAAATTTACCCCACCCCTTCCTGTGTAACAGTGCACACGCAGCTTTTGACATGTTCCACTATTAGCGTAGCAGGAAAGCTGCGGGTTCTCAGGTGGGCTGTGAAGGATCTCAGGTGGGCTCTGCAGGGTCACTGGCTGCCAAGCCCACCTGAGACCCTGTGGAGCCCATCATAGACCCCCGCAAAGCCCACCACAGATCCTGCAAAGCCACCTTGAGACCCGGCAGAGCCCCTCACAGATCCTGCATGGCCCCCCTGAGACCCTGCAGTCTCAGGGGATCTGTGCAGGATCTATGGTGAGCTCTGCAAGGTCTCAGGGGGGCCTTGCAAGATCTGTGGTGAGCTCTGCAAGGTCTATGGTGGGAAGAGCCCATCAAAGATCCTGCACAGCCGCCCTGAGACCCTGCAGAGCCCCCCACAGATCATGCACAGTCCCCCTGTGGCCCTGCAGTCGGCAGGATCTCGGGGGCTGTGCAGGATCTGTAATGGGCTCTGCCCACCATAGAGCCCACCACAGATCCTGCAAAGCCCCCCACAGATTCTGCAGGATCTCAGGGGGGCTGTGCAGGATCTGTGGTGGGCTTTGCAGGCTGCAAAGCCACCTACAGATCCTGCAAAGCCCCCCCACGGATCCTGCAGAGACCCTGCCGCCCCCCCTGAAATCTGCCGCCCAAGGCAAACCGTAGGGGTGCGGGTGATCGTA